ACTTATACGTTGGACTGGAAGAATCTTTGTTGTGGGGAAGCTGTCCTGGGCATCTCTAGCTCGACTGAATAGATGCCGGTAGCAGCTCCCCATCCCAGTTGTGAAAATAAAAAATGTCTCAAGACATTGCCAGATGTTGACTGAAGGGCGCAAATGTCCCCCGTTAACAACCACCAGTTTAGTGCATGGTACCCCTCTTTAGTTAAGACATACTGGGCAGAGAGATGCCAATGTGACTCACTGGTTAAATTATTTAAATAATGTTAAATCCTTTCGAAGTGAATCTAAATTCCTCCTTGAGCGTTAAATGCAACTATTTTGTGTAACTTCTAGATGTTCCTGACATACTCTGAGGGAGGCAATCATTTACTTCCGAGGCAATCATTTATTTCCGAGGCAATAATTCCTCGGAAATCTCAATAAGTTGTCAAAGGAAATGCAAAATAGAACAGTCTGATGATTCAGTCTGTAAGTTCCCAATGATATCTCCTTACTTCCAAGATTAAATAATTCTCTGAGTTCCGTTTTATTATATGGTAGAGACAATGACAACAAATTTGTGCTATTTGTGTGGTTGTTGATATCTTTGTGCATGTTTTAAGTGGCCTTCTAAAAGATAATTTCTTTTAAATGACCATTTCTCCATCCACCAACCACCCCCCTTCCCAAGGATATCAGGGTTTTTATTGCCAACATTTTTCAGGTTATAATAATTCTCCTTTTGATAATTTGGTTTAAAAAAAACCCTCAGGTCTTTTGAAAGGAGGCATTGGTAGAACCATATAAACCTTCTATATAGTTGGTGTGGGGTGTAGAGTCTTTTTCTCAAACAAAAAGCACAGAATAAAGAGGCCGTGAGGTGTGTCAATGGGATACTCACTTCTTTTTGCCTCCTGCTTAAAGGGATCAGTACAGTGATCATAGGCCCAAACTGATAATCTTTGTATCTGAGGTCTGGGTGTTTTTCAGGCAAGCCTGTGTTACACAAGGGAGTTAAATATAAATAGGCCTTATAAAAGCAAAAAAATCCTAAAGAAATATAATATTATTGCAAAATGCTTTGCTAACTTTAGAGAAAGGTGTTTTATAATTATCTTGATTAAAAAGACTATTATTATTCAGCATTTATTTTTTACCTTTTTAAACCCAAATAGACAGTCACTCATCAGAAACAGGCCTACATTTTTCAGAAAGTTAGGTTTCTTAAAAAAAAAAAAGTATTATCTCATTTCTGCTTCCACTTAATATAGAATAAGAGACACTGGATTTATATTCCTACCTTAATTAAAAATCTGGAGAAAAATTCAGTAGAACAGTGTTTATGACACTGGCTACTAGGCAGTAGAAAACAGTGATCCCTGAGAGATAGGAAACAAATAAGATGAGACATATGATTTCCCTGGTATATTGCTTTGAGGACATCCAGGCTATGGTGCAAGGAGAAGCAAACCAGGAGGCATCCAACAAACTCCCGGAGTGGAAGAGATGGAGCTGAGAATCTGGGGAGATGGAAGAAGTTAGAGGTCACAGACAGTACGAGCAAGGAGAAAGTTGCACAGACACCACCAGAGATCTTGCAAGGGGTCTCCTATGTGTTCTGCATGGGTTATTGTTTGTGTGTGAGAAGACTACCTGAACCCGACAGGGAAAAACACCTGTAAGGACTAGAGGAAAAAGTTCCTGGCACTCACACAGTACCTGGACAAAAAAATACCTGTTCCCATCAGGAAGACTGGAGAACCTCCTAAATCATGGGCACTGGGTACAGGGTATTCTTGCCTCAGTAGTGGGGAAAAACTAGCCCTACATGAAATACTGCTCAGGTCTTGCCCAACAAATCTTAAAAAGCAAGACTTGAAAAAAACAAATTATTTCCAAGTAACTTGATTGCATCCCTAAATAGAACTCAAGAATACTTATAAGAATATAAAAAATCGGGGCACATAGGTGGCTCAGTGGGTTAAGCGTCTGCCTTTGGCTCAGGTCATGATCTCAGGGTCCTGGGATCAAGCCTCGCATTGGGCTCCCTGCTCAGCAGGCAGTCTGCTTCTCCCTTTCCTCTGTCCCTCCCCCTGCTTATGCTCTCTCTCTATCTCTCAAATAAAATCTTAAAGTAATATAAAAAATATCCTGCACTCAACAAAGTCAAATTTATGATACCTAACATCCAACCAAAAATTACTAGCATACTGTAAAGCTGAAAAATATGACCCATGATGATGAGAAAGACCAATCAAAACTGAATAGACCAACAGATGTTAGAATTATCAAAATATTAAAACAGTTATTTTAACTGTATTCCATATGTTCAAAAGGTAATTTGATACCTGAAAAAGAAAAAGAATTTCCAAACTGAACTTCTAGAGATGAAAATCCCAATGTCTGAGATGAAATATGCCCTGGATGAGGTTAACAAAAGATTAGACATTTCAAAAGAAAAGATTAGTAAGTTTGAAGGCATTACAATGGAAGTTATCCAAAATAAACAGAAAAATATTTTAAATGAATAAATTAGTCAACCATGGAAATACTTCAAGTATCCCAATAGACATGTATTTGGAGTCTCTGAGAAAGAAACAGAAAGGTGGATAGAAAAAATATTTGAAGAAGTAATAGGTGAAATTTTTCCAAATTTGATGAAAACTATAAACCAACAGATCCAAGACACCCAACAAACCTCATACATAAGAAACATGAAGAAAACAACATCAAGAGAAATCATAAATAAATTTTGCAAAACTAGCAAAAAATAGAAAAACTTAAAGCAGCCAGAAGAAAAAAGATCTATTACATATAAAGGAATTAGGATAAGCATGGCAGCAATGTTTTCATAGGAAACAATGCAAAGGAGGAGACAATGGAGCAACATCACTAAAGTACGGAAAGGATAGGGGAAAAAACTATCAACCTAGAATTCTAAACCCAGTGAAAATATCTGACAGAAAGGAAGGCAAAATAAAGACTTTTTCAAACATACAAAAGCTGAAAGAATTCATCATCAGTGGACCTATAGTGCAAAAGTTCTTTAAGAAATTCTTTTAGAAGGAAAATGATAGCAGATGTAAATCTGGCTTTTCCCAAAGGAATGAAGATCACCTGAAAAGGCGATCATGACTTTTCCCCTGGACAGAAAGGGTCTATCTTGCCCCATCATGAGTTAGAACATGAGGGTGCTCCTGATTCAGCTTCAAGTTTCCCAACAAGGAATATGTGACAAGCATGAGGAGGAACATGATGATAAGGAACTGGTCCCTGACTGAACAGAGCTTCCTGACAATCTGGACCACTCACCTGGAAACTATTACTGAGAGACTAATAAAAGTGTACTTTTTAGAGTTTCTGTATTTTAGAGTATTACTGATACTGGACATTGACCTTTACCTTATTTAAAACAATTATTTTTAAAGCTGTAAAGTTGTGCCTTCTACATTAAGATATTTAATCTACTTGGAATTTTTTTTTCAACATAAAGATAGAGTTGATTCAGAGCATCCTAATGAAAATACCATCTTTTTCTCACTAATCTGAAATGCCAACTCTATCATATACCAATCATATATGCATGGAAGTCTTCCTGTCCTATCTCTTCTCTTAGTCTGTTTCTCTGTCTATACACCAGTATTATGATATCCATGCACTAATTAGATATATTTATACTAATAGGGAAATTATTCTTTCTTCTTTCTGAAATGAACATGGTTCTTCCTAGCATGTTGAATTTCCAAATAAATGTTAGGATCATTTTTTAAAAAGTAGATGAAGAGGTTTATTAAGAGTTGCAGCTGGGGGGCGCCTGGGTGGCTCAGTCATTAAGCGTCTGCCTTCAGCTCAGGTCATGATCCCAGGGTCCTGGGATCGAGCCCCGCATCGGGCTCCCTGCTCGCCGGGAAGCCTGTTTCTCCCTTTCCCACTCCCCCTGCTTGTGTTCCCTCTCTCGCTGTATCTCTCTCTGTCAAATAAATAAAATCTTTAAAAAAAAAAAAAAAAGAGTTGCAGCTGGATCACATTGGTTTCAGCCTGTCTTATTAATAGTTGATAAGTACCGAACTCTCCAGTCCATGACAAAGGTTAGTCACAGAATAACTTCTTGTCTTCACAACCGCAGGGGCAAAAGCAGATATGGTAGTGAAGAGTGATACTTTACTTATGTAGTAGGCATCTAGGGGTCAGATCTCTTCCTTCTCGCCCACATTCCCCTAGGACTAAGGATATCATTCCCCACTGGGTCAACATTAGCTTCAGTTATTTTGGTGTAGACTGTGTAGAAGCAACTGCATTGCTGTAATCACATTTAAGTGTATATCAGCTGCACATTGAGGGCTCCTTCAAAGCATGGGCCAGACTAATATTTATCAGATTCACAGAGTAAAATATACAGCACTTATTTTCCAGGGTTTTCAATAGGCACTTCTTGACTGACTCAAGGGTTAAATTCTCTGTAACTTCATTTTAATATAATATTGAAGAATTTTGACAATTTATCAACAATTACCATTTACTGTTGAGGGCCTGCTTTGCTCTATGTACAATACTAAGTACTGAATATTCAGCAGTAAGGAAATAGATATGGATCCTTCTCGCATAAGACAATCCAACATTTAAACAAAATAAACAGAAATTATATTTAATTTATAATAGTGCTTAATTCTGTGAAAGGAAAATAGGGTCATATATAAGAATAACTGGCGGGAGAATAATCCATCTTTTATATATTAGAACATGTTCTGTCCAAAAGAAATGTGATTTGACTTGTAATATAGCTGGATTTATGTAGCAAATTAAACATAATTTTTCCTATAGTTAATTTATTCATTTATTCCACGGTATTCATGTTCATTGTCTCTGTAATGATCCAGATATCAGGCTCACAAAAATGACCAAGACCCAGTTCCTGTCTTTGAGGAGATCCAAGTTCAGTGGCTTACAAAATTACCTTTCACTAAAATAACTGCATACCAAAAGAAAGTATAAATATATCCTTGTCATTTTTTCTTTTTTAGATGAGGATAGGCATTCACTCGGGTTCCGTGCTCGCTGGAGTTGTTGGGGTGAGAATGCCACGATATTGCCTGTTTGGAAATAATGTCACTCTGGCAAGCAAATTCGAATCAGGAAGTCACCCTCGGCGCATCAATGTCAGCCCGACCACTTACCAGTAAGTGTTCTCTGACCTCTTCTCCTCCTCCTGTCTTTGGCCTTGCCTTGAGCTAATAATATCCTGTCATTTGTGAGACCCTGTATATTTTTTTTTATCCTGTGATTCTCTAAGGTAATAGGAGTAGATCCACCCAGTCTGAAAGATAGCAATTGTGACATAAACATTTATGTGTACCCTGAGAGAGTGCACGAAGAGCGTGACTTGACTGAGAGGTAAACATAGGTTTGTCATTTACCACAGTTGCCGTCCTTCTGAGGTACACCTGTTTAAATACAGGAGAACAAGTGTTGAAGATTGGCATTACACCCAGAGTCCTCACATTTTCAAAATGTTCCTCAGTGTTTATAAAAGTCAAAGAATGAGATAGAAAAGACATTTTATCTGCTTTTATTCTTTGGAATAATTAAGGTAAATAATGAATCTCTAAAGTTAAATATATATTGGGCACAGAGTAAAACTTCGAACTCTATTTATCTTAAAGATTGTATTTGACAACTCTACACACACAGTTGACAGCCAAACACATCTGTATTTTCTACCCGGTGGAGGTCCTCTCACCTGCTAGTTACTACACTTCCTACGGGCAGGGACCATGCCTGTTTTAGCTCATCATTATATTCCCAGAACTTATAAAACATGCTTAACACATAATAAGCACTCTCTAAATATTAGTTGAATTAATGAATGCATTGGTAGGATCGACTGCTCTAGATTAAGAAGATGGTATGACTATCTCCTGTATGCTAGACATTGGTTTTATGCTGGGCATTGTTGTGCAAGCTAATTGGTGCCATAGTTTGGATAACTAAAAAGTCATATTGTAAAACTGTAGAGTGGAAATAGTGACCATTGATATTTTTTATTTTCTACTGAAGTATAATTAACATACAATGTTATATTAATTTCAAGTGTATGACATATTACTTTGACAATTCTATACATTACTCAGTGTTCATACAATAAGTGTAGTCAATCATAAGTCACCATAAAATGTTTTTATAATATTATTGACTATATTCCCTATGCTGTAGTTTTCATCCTTGTGACTTATTTATTTTATATTGGAATTCTGTACTTCTTTATCCTCTTTATCTATTTTACCCATCCTCCCACCCACATCCCTGATGGCAATCAGCAAGTGTTCTTTGTACTTAAGCATCAGGGGTTTTTTTGTCTCTTTCCTTCTTTGTTTTGGTTTTTAGATTCCACATATAAATGAAATCCTATGGTATTTGTTGTTCTCTGACTTATTTCATTTGGTGTCATATGCTCTAGTGTGGTGCCCAGCTGGACTGTCTCTGAATCAAATGGGGGCCTCCAAATGTGGGGCAATGGTCAGCTGGAAGCTGCTGGCAAGGGAGGTGAAAGGATTCACCCAAGGCAGAACAAAGGAGATAGAAGCTTATTGAGTACCCCACAAGGGAGCGGTGAGCAGGACAGTAGAGGAGAGGTTGTCTACCATGAGGCAATGGGTGAGGGCCGCTTGTCTACCATGAGGCGGAAGGTGAGGAGGTGTGGCGACATATGGAATTCTCCCTTTTTTGGTAACTGTGCCTGGTTGTAAGTAGCCCATTGGTCAGCTAGGGCCTAAGGATGTTTTGAGGTGGGTTGGGTTCCTGATGGGCATATCTGTAGTCATCCAAGTGGTCCATGTGGTCCTTTTCTCATCCCATTGCTAAAGCCTGTTTGCCTAAAAGTGGCCTCTGTATTTAGGTCCATTAATGTTGTTGCAAATGGCAAAAACACATTCTTTTTTTATGTTTGAATAACACACACACACACACACACACACACACATATATATACCCCCCATATTTATCCATTCATCTGTTGATGGACACTTGGGCTGCTTCCAGATCTTGGCAATTGTAAATAATGCTGCCATAAACATAGGGGTGCATCTATCTTTTCAAATTAGTCTTTTCTTTTTCTTTGGATAAACACCCGGTGGTGGAATTACTGGATCATAGGGTATTTCTGTTTTTAATATTTTGAGGAAACTCCACTTTATCTTCCACAGTGGGCTGCACCAGTTTACATTCCTACCAACAGTTGCCAGGGTTCCCTTTTCTCCACATCCTTGCCAACACTTGTTGTTTCTCAGCCTTTTGATATTAGCCGTTCTGACTGGTGTAAAGTGATGTCTCAGCGTGTTTGGGTTTTTTGTTTTGTTTTGTTTGGGGGGATTGTTTTTTGACATTTCCCTGATGATGAGTCTGTTGGTCATCTTTAAGTCTGTTTGGAAAAATGTCTGGTATCACAGTAATGCTGGCCTTGTAGAATGAGTTAGGAAGTTTTCTTCACTTTTATTTTTTGGAACAGTTTGAGAAGAGTAGATATTAACTCTTCTTTAAATGTTTAGTAGAATTTACCTGTGAAGCCATGTGGTCCTGAACTTTTGTTTGTTGGGAGTTTGTTGATCATTGATTCAATTTCATTACTAGTAATTGTTCAGTTCAAATCTTCTATTTCTTCCTGATTCAGTTTTGGAAGATTGTATGTTTCTGGAATTTATCCATTTGACTAAGTCATCCAGTATGTTAGCATATAATTTTCCATAATATGTTCTTATCATACTTTGTATTTCTGTGGTGGCAGCTGCTACTTCTCCTTCATTTCTGATTTTATTTGAATCCTCTCTTTTCCTTGATGAATCTGGCTTAAATTTTTTCAATTTTGTTTATCTTTTTAGAAAACTGACTCTTGGTTTCATTGATTTTTACATTGTTCTTTTAGTCTCTATTTTGTTCATTTCTACACAAATCTTTATTTCTTTCCTTCTACTAACCTTGGGTTTGTTTGTTCTTTTTTTTTTTTTTTCTTTGTAGCTCCTCAAGTGTAAGGTTAGGTTCTTTATTTGAGAATTTTCTTGTCTTTTGAGGTAAGCCTGTATGGCTATAAAATTCCCTATTACTGCTTTGTTGCATCCCAAGAGTTTGGACTGTTGTGTTTTCATTTGTCCCTATGTATTTATTGATTTTTTTCTTTGATTTCATGGTTGACCCACTGATTGTTGAGTAGCACGTTATTTAGCCTCTGCATGTTTGTGTGTTTTTTCCCCAGATTTTTCTTATAATTGATTTCTAGTATCATACTGTTATGGTTGGAAAACATACTTGATATGATCTCAATCTTCTTAAATTTACTGGAACTTATTTTGTGGCCTATCATGTAATCTATCCTGGAGAGTGTTCCATGTGCATGTAAAAGAATTTTTATTCTGTTGTTTTGGGATGGAATGTTCTGCATATATGTCAGGTTCATCTGGTCTAACGTGTGTTTCAAAGCCACTCTTTCCTTATTGATTTTCTATCTGGATAATCTGTTGATGTAAGTGGGGTGTTAAAGCCCCTACTATTATTGTATTACTGTCAATTTCTGTTTCTGTCTGTTAATATTTGCTTTATATATTTTGGTTTTCCTATGTTGTGTATACAGATATTTACATTTGTTATATCCTCTTGCTGGATTGTTCCCTTTATCGTTATGTAGTGCCTTTCATTGTTTCTTGCTACAGTCTGTTTTGAAGTCTACCCTTTGTGCACTTTCATTTGCATGGCATATGTTTTTCTCTCCCTTCACTTTTAGTCTGCATGTGTTTTTAGGTTTGAAGTGAGACTTGTAGGCAGATACATATGGGTCTTGGTTTTTTTTATTCATTCAGTCATCCTATGTGTTTTAATTGGAACATTTAGACCATTTACATTTAAAATGATTGATAAGCATATACTTGTGAATTGTTTTCTGGTGGTTTTTATAGTTCTATGTTTCTTCTTCTCTTGCTCTTTTCCCTTGTGGTTTGATGGCTTTGATTAGCGTTATGCTTAGCTTTCTTTCTATTTTTTGTGTGTATATTATAGGTTTTTGATTTGGGTTACCGTGTGTTCATATGTAACATCTTATGTGTATAGTAGTCTATATTAAGTTATAGTTCCTTAAGTTCAAATACATTCCAAGCACTAAATTTTTATTCCTCCTCCATGTTTCATGTTATGATATTGTATTTTACAGCTTTTTATTTTGTGTATTCTTTGACTAATTTTTGTAGATATAATTGATTTTATTACCACTTTTGTGTTTTAACCTCAATACTGACTTTATAAGTGATTGATCTATTTTTATTATGTATTTGCTTTTACCTGTGAAATTTTTTCCTTTCATAATTTTCTTCCAGTTATGGCCTTACCTTTATACTTAAAGAATTCTAACATTTTGTATAAGGCTGGTTTAGTGATGAATTCCTTTAACTTTTGTTTGGGAAACTCTTTTTCTCTCCTTCTGTTCTGGATGGTAGTCTTGCTGGATAGAGTACTTTTGGTATTTTTGTTTTGTTTTGTGTTTTGTTTGTTCGTTTGTTTTTTGACTTTCAGCACTTGGAATATATCCTGCCAATTTCTTCTGGCCTGCAAATTTTCTGCTGAAAAATCAGCTGATAACCTTATGGGGTTTCCCTTGTATTTTGTTTGTTTTGTTTGTTTTTGTATTGCAGCTGTAAGATTCTTTATCATTGCTTTTTGCTGTTTTAATTGTTATTTGTCATGGTATGGACCTACTGGGTTTATCTTGTTAGGGGTTCTCTGTTTCCTGGACCTGGATGTCTGTTTCCTTCCCCAGATTTGGGAATTTTTCAGCTATTATTTCTTCTAATAAATTTTCTTCCCCCCTCCCCCCGTTTTTTAAAAGATTTTATTTATTTGTCAGAGAGGGAGAGAGAGTACAAGCAGGGGGAGCAGCAGGCAGAGGGAGAAGCAGGCTCCCTGCTGAGCAGGGAGCCCAATGCGGGGCTTGATCTCAGGACCCTGGGATTATGACTTGAGCCGAAGGCAGACACTTTACTGACTGAGCCACCCCAGGCGTCCCTCTTTTCCCTTCCTTATCTCTTCTCCTTATGGGATCCCTATAATGTTAATGTTATTATACTTGATGTTGCTGAGCTCCTTTAACTTTTTCTCATTTATTAATTTTTTTTTCTGTTTGCTGTTCAGCTTGGTTGCTTC